TTATTTAACATTTTTATGGCCTGCCTAGTAATGTAATAAAGCAGGAAGCTAAAATAATATTTATGGTTAATATCAGGGAGAATATAAAACTATCATTATTTGTATTTAACAAGGACTTCTTCCTGAAAAATCCAACAGAATCAAACTTTTGGAAGTAAAATATAAATTTGGTTTTATCTGCATAAGTAATAAACATATAAAACTTGATGGTTGCCTTATACAACTAACAATCAGATAGTGGACATAGTGTGGGAAAAGTTTTCATTCATAACAGGAGCAAAAACAATGTTTGGAAGTCATTGTAATAAGAACTCTTCTGAACTGAGCTAATCTGAATATTTTTTGCTGAGAGATGCAAAAGAAGATTTAAAAATGGAGAGAAATACCAAGTCCACAGATGGGAAAATTAAATATGATAAGCCAATTCTTCTTTTTTTAGGTTTTATGCAAATCTAAAACTCATAGTGTGACTTTTCCTGAACTTGACAATAAGAATTTGTGACTCATTTAGAAAAATAATCATTGAGAGTTATGAGGAAACATCTTTAGTATAACAGCTAGTTTGTATTCAGTCACACTATTTATAGTCACTTATATACATTTTTAATGAAACTATAACAATTCAAGCCTTTTAATATTAGAACAAAAAAACACAGACCTACCAAATAAAATATCCACAAAATAGACAAACACATGAACTTACAGCATAGCAAACCAGGAGGTAAATTCAATAGGAACACGTTAGTTAAAAAGAACACAAATTTACTAACTCTTCTAATTACAAGTTCTACAAACCATACATAAATATAAACAAATTACCAAAAAATGTAATAAATGACATTAAAACAACTAGAACAATGTTGGTGGAAATTGTCCCAATTTAAGGATGAGATATCCTTTTTTTTTTTTTTTTTTTTTTTTTTAGTTTTTAATGTTTATTTTATTTTGAGAAAGACAGACAAAGTAGAGTGGGAGAGGGGCAGAGAAAGAGGGAGATAAAGAATCCGAAGCAGGCTCCACATTCTGAGCTGTCAGCATAGATCCCGATGCAGGGCTTGAAGCCACAAACTGTGAGATAATGACCTGAGCCAAGGTTGGACACTTACCACTGAGCCACCCAGGCACCCCTATGAGGTATCGTTTTATAGGGAAATCAGAGTCACAAAAGAAAAGTTCTATAAATTACCACATATAGAAATTTAAGATTATTGTGCTTCAAAAAGTACCATAAATTAGAAATTAAATATTGAAAAATTCACAACAAATATAAGAAAGGTTAATAGCCTTACGGTTTGGAGAGATTTTAAAATAAAACAATAAAAGCTGGGAAAAAAGAAAAGAAACACAGGTTTATAGATGTCAAATGTCAAAAATGTATTTCATCTTTGAGAAGAAACAATAATTAAGTTGATGTATTATTTCTTTAATCAATTGAGTAGAGCAGAGTAGTTTTTTGCTGTTGTTATTTTTAAAGAAAATATTCATAGCAGGTGTGGTGATAAAGGCATCTGTAAATTTGCATACAAGTCTAGGAAGCACAAACTTTTGGAAAATGATTTGTTAATGTGTATCAAGAGATGTGAGAAATTCACAGCTAAAAGCTCTAGACCAAGAGATATTCTTTCTAGCAATTTTTATTAAGAAAATAAAAATCTTGGGGTGCCTGGGTGGCTCGGCTGGTTAAGTGTCAGACTTCAGCTCAGGTCAAGATCTCACCGTTGGTGGGTTCAAGCCCAGCGTCTGGCTCTGTGCTGACAGCTAAGCTCAGAGCCTGGAGCCTGTTTCCGATTCTGTGTTTCCCTCTCTCTGACCGTCCCCTGCTCTCTCTCTCTCGCTTGCTCTCTCTCTCTCTCTCTCTCTCTCGCTCGCTCTCTCTCTCTCAGAAATAAATAAAACATTAATAAAAAAAGAAAAGAAAAATCTTGAAAAATCTTATTTTATTTATTTTAATTAATTAATTAATTACTTTTTAGAGAGTCAGAGAGAGAGAGTTCAAACAAGAGAGAGGGGCAGAGAGAAGAGAGAGAGAGAGAGGGAGAGGGAGAGGGAGGGAGAGAGAGAGAGAGGGAGAGGGAGAGAGGGAGAGGGAGAGAGAATGCCAAGTAAGCTCCATGCTCATTGCAGAGCCCAACATAAACCTTGAACCAACAGCCCTGGGATCATTGCCTGACTTGAAATCAAGAGTTGGATGCTCAACTGGCTAAGCCACCCAGGCATCCTGAAAAATATTCTTTAAAAAAAAGTCCTCATGACAATTTTATACTTTACACAAGCTTTTGATTTGAGGATAGTTTTAGACTTCTGTAACAATTGCACACATGCTATGGAGAGGAGTTTGTCTATGTCCTTTAACCAGTTCTCTTCTCATTAACATCTGAAATGAATACTGAGTATTTGTCACAGTGAATAAATCGATATTGACACATAACTATTAACTGAAGTTTATACTTCTTGTTCCATATTTACTTAGTTTTTTAAGAAAATCTAATCTCCTTTTTCTTTACCAGGACCCCATCCATGATACCACACTGCGGCTCGTTGTCACACCTCCTTAGCCTCCTCCCGCTTTTCAGTGACCTGCACAGTTTTAAGAAATCCAAATCAGGCACTTTGTAGAATGAAGCTCAGCTGGGTTTGTGTTATGTTTTTATAATGATTATACTGGATTTATTGGTTTTGTGAGGACGACTGCAGAGGTGACATGTCATTTTCACCACATCATATCAGGTGTGGGTGCTATTAACATGTCCTCTCACACTGATGTCAACCTTGATCACCTGGCTGAGACAGTGATGACAGACTTCTCCACTTCCTGTGCCTTTTACCTCTTCTACATACTGTATTCTGGAAGGAAGTCATAGTGTGCACTGATGGAATGGGAAATATTACTTTGGCAAAAAAATTGTAGCCTTATTTCCAGAAATATAAAACCAGTTAGTTCTGGTGTTTCTGTAAGAGAAGTAATTATACAAACATTACAAATGATATTTAAAAAAAAATAAAACACTGTTGTGTCAGGGAAATATACTCACTATAGAATAAGTGGAAGAAGTAAAGAATATGTGTCTACAATACAGTACTAATTTTTAACAAATCTTTATCAGGCCAATTTAAATATCCTTTCTCTTATATTTCTGATTTTCCAAATTCTGCAAGTACCTACTGCTTTTATGATCAGAAATGCAATTTTCAAAGGCTAACCTAAGGTGCTTTTCCCACTAGAGAAATGTGTCCACCAGGTTGCCTGGACATATGTACCTTGGCAGGACAGTGTATTTCCTCCTCCAGCAGAGCTGCAAGTCCACAGAACATACTTCATGCTATTCTCTTTGTGTTCAGTTAATAACTGCTCCTCCCGCGTGCACATAGCCATGCTCACACCAACAAATACATATTCTTCCCTTAGCTTTGCTAATAGCACACAAGTACAAATTTGTAATAAATTTAAAGTTTTTTTTTTTCATTTTTGAGAGAGAGAGAGAACAGGAGAGGGGCAGAGAGAGAGAGGGAGAGAGAGAATCCCAAGTAGGCTCCACATCATCAACACGTAGCCCAACGTGGGACTCAATCCTCTGAACCATGATATCATGACCTGAGCTGAAATCAAGAGTTGGATGCTTAACTGACTGAACCACTTGAGTGCCCTGAAGTACAATAATAATGTTCATACATTGCCAAATATACTGACCAGTTACAAATTTGTAGACTTGCATTGAATGAGGGATCTTGCCAATTAAAAATCTTTTTTAGATCTTCAACAAGATCTAGCATATTGTCAAGTTTGGGGTCATTCTCTTACTGTCAAAAAGTTAATTAAACTTTTTACTTTGAGAACGTCAATCCACAGGCTGCTCTATGAGAGAATACAGAGAGATCTCATGTATACTTTACCCAGTTTTCCTCATTGGTAACATCTTATAAGACTAGTATAGTATCGGGGCACCTGGGTGGCTCAGTCAGTTAAGCATCTGACTTTAGCTCAGGTCATGATCTCGCAGTTTGTGAGTTCGAGCCCCGCATCAGGCTATGTACTGATAGCCCAAAGCCTGGAGCCTGTTTCAGATTCTGTGTCTCCCTCTCTCTTTGTCCCTCCCCTGCTTGTGCTCTGTCTCTGTCTCTGTCTCAAAAATAAATAAACTATAAGAATTAAAAAAAAAAAAAGACTAGTATAGTATCACAACCAAGACTTAATTCTGATATAATCCTCTGATCTTATTCAAATTTTGTTCATTTTCCTGTACACATTTGTATGTGTAGATTTGATTCTATGCAATTGGAAAACATAGATTCATGTACCTACCAATATAGTCAAAATATGGAACAGTTCTATCATTCCAAGGACCCTTCACATTAACCTTTTATTACAACATCTACCTCCCTTTTGACCTCTTTGCCTCTTCTCTAACTCTTGGAAAAGATTAATCTGTTTATTTCTATAACTGTGTCATTTTAGGGATGCTCTATAGATAGATTCATAATGTATGTACCCTTTGAGGTTGGTTCCCCACATCCATCAGCTTATAATTCCCTTGAGACTCATCCAACTTGTTCTGTATAAATAATTCCTTCCTTTATAACTGGAGAGTATTTTGTGGTATGGGTGTACCACAGCTCTGCTTGCTCATTCACTGCTTGTATATTCACCCATTAAAGATGGCTGCATTATCTCTGCTGTTTTGGTCTACAACAAATAAGGCCACTGTGAACACTTTGTACAGGTTTCGGTGTGAACCCAATTCTTTAGTTCTCTGTGATAAATGTCTGAGAATGCTTAGTTGTACGTCTAGTTTTCAACGATTTGCCAAACTATTTTCTTTTAACTAACACTATCTTTCTCTCATAACCTATTAGGAAGGATATTAAACAAATAATGACATTAGCTAAAATTCTGTCAACACATTGTCAGGATAGATACAGATAAAAATACCTTCAATGTAAATTTTACTGGTTAGTATGCAGCTTGAAATGCACATTAAGCTATACTTAATGATTATTTACAGGATGAACACATCCATGTTTTTAGCACCCAAAGCATGTACCAGAACATCGCTTGAATCTTGGAAGACTGCTCAGGTCCCTACCAGTTGTACCCATAACCCACACCTTTCAGGTAAACACAGTCCTGATTTCTAATGACAACAGGGCTTTTGTCTACTCTCAAAATTTACATACATGGTTTCATATTGTATGTACTTTTGCATCAGTCTTTGTTTAATGTTGTGTTTGTAAGATAAATCCATGATTTGGTATATAATATTTTTGATGTCTTTTATTTTTGAGAGAAAGAGAGCAAGTGGGATAGGTGCAGAGAAAGAGGGGGAAAGAGAATCCCAAGCGGGCTCTGCACTGACAGAAGAGACCCCAGTGTGGTATTCAAACTCACAGACCATGAGGCCATGACCTGAACTGAAGTCAGAGACTCAAATTGAGCCACTCAGATGCCCCTCCAAGATTTGGTTTATTGTGACTCATGATATAGATCCCCTATTCTTGTTGCTGTGTAGTATCTTATTGTATGCATCTATCACAATTTAGTTATCTATTCTATTGTTAATTGCATTTTGATTGTTCCTAATTTTTATCTATTATGAATACTACTAGTATGTGTCATTCTTGTATGTGTCTCTTTGTGAACACATGGAAGCATTTCTTTTGAGTGTGTACCTATGAGAAGAATAGTTCAGGCGATATGCATGTATTCAGCTTTGGCAGAAGTTGCCAAATGGTTTACTAAGATGGTTGTGCTAATTTATGTTCCCACCAGCAGTGTATGGGGACCCCATATTTAAATATATATTTTAAATCTCCTTTTTGTCACATAAGGAAACTGAGACTAAAGACTTTATAAAGTTTTTCAGGGTGCCTGCATAGCTCAGTTGGTAGACATCCAACTCTTAATTTCTGCTCAGGTCATGATACCAGGGTCATGGGATTAAGCCTTGAGTTGGGCTCCATGCTGAACATGGAGCTTGCTTAAGATTCTCTCTCTCTGTCCCTTTGCCCCTCTGCCCCTCTCTCCCACTCTCTCTCTCTCAAATTAAAAAATAAATATATGTTAATTTATTTTTTATGTCACATAGCTAATAAGAGAAGAATCCTTGGTTTGAACCTAGGTGTGTCTGACTCCAGTAATATTCTTTTTCTATTAGACCATAACATCTGTTACTTGACTGCAGTCAATATACTTCAATCTCCCACTTTTTCCATAAATGAAAGCTTCATATATTTTGTTCCTTTGATGTCCTTCTACTCAAGGTCCAACAAAGGAAAATCATGGTTACTGCCTTTATTCTGCCCGCGCACAGCCACGTCTTCCCACTTTTGATCAACCCTAGTAACTTGCCACTATATCACTTCAATAAATGCTCATTTCCCTATTTGCTTTTCAATGTTTATTTATTTATTTTGAGGGAGAGTGTGTAGTGAGTGGGAGAGGGACATTGAGAGAGGGAGAGAGAGAATCCCAATAGCTCTTCACTGTCAGCGCAAAGCCCAATATGGGGCTGGATCTCAAGAACCCAGAGATCATGACCTGTGCCAAAACCAATAGTTGGACACAGAACTGACTGAGCCACCCAGGCACCCCTCTTGTTTTAATATTTAATTTCTAAATATTCTTAGTTGAAAATTTTGTCATCTAGAGTACAAGTGCTTTGAGAGTTAATATATCCTTTGCTATCTATCCTGTTTATCAATAAAAATTGTTAAGCTTAATTGATGTCTAGATACTTCAAGGTTAACAAGGTCATCTGAAGTTTAAGTGAGATAGCAGACCAATGGGAAGCAAAATCTAGAAACACAAAGTTTTGAAGGAAATCCTGTACATACACGGACTGAAATGGCAGACACACTGAATTCCAAAATAATGAGTGGAGTTAAATTTTAGTTTGCAATGTTATTTAAAACTTACTGAGCTCAACGAATTTGAATCAAATAAAAAGCTCAAATCACAAGTGAAATGAAATATATTACTTGAGGGAAATACAAATTAAGAGTGATAAATTGAATGCTAAAAGTTGGTTTTAGAGGAAAGGTGAAAAAATAGGGAATTAGAAAGATGGAAACTATCTGATAATAATTATTCTCAATGATAAGGTCCACAGGGGAAGGACTTTTTTGTCTGCAAAGGAGAAGATTTTGTTTACTTCACATTTATTAGGAAAGTACTTGCTACATATGTCTGAGTGCTTTAGATGTTTTAATATGAATTAAAAAGCAGGAGAAAGAAGAAATAATCTAAAGCCATAAGAAATTCAAAGAAAACCATGGCCGATAGTTTGCTTTGAAAATTTTCACACAATTTTCATAAAATAGCTTTGCTTTAGATCGTTAGAGGCTCCTCTTAGCTCTATAAGATGGTGTACCATAAAATTGTACAATAAATAGAATCCACAATTAAAATAATTAAAATATTTCACCACCAAAATAATTCAATTTCTAGTCTTATATTATCATATGATTTTCTGTTACATAAAGACAAGTTGTATTAAGAGACTCTGCAATGGAGGAATTGAACTTGTACTGCAAGTCGATGGTAACATCAAGCCTAGAACACATTGCTCCTGGCATCAGTTATAGATTATGGTCAATGAAAGACAAGGCATAGTAGCAGAATTTCAGTATTTGATCTGAGGTTTTCCTACCTGAACATTTACATTTCTCTACTGCCTGAGTAATAATAATACACATATCTTTATACTTAACAATTTATTTGTAGAAATTTGTAAGTAAAAATACTTGCTGAAGTGTTTAAAGATATATATACATATTTTGTATTGTGCTTATACTATATATAATAATCATACATATATATCAAAGTGATTTTAAGTAGGAAATACATAATGTGGAGGACTGGTTAAATTATACCTAAATGTTATATAGCCATTAAAAATAACGACCATAACCATTTAGATACAGGTTTAGAAGAGCAAATTCAGATTGCTAAGAAAAAAAAATTAAAATACATATATTATAACCTAGTTTTTAATTTTGTAAATGAAAACTCATCTAGTATACTTTGCATTTCCAAGGTATATATCACACAAGAGAAAAACCTAGGGAGTGGTGAAATTCTGCTTGGTTGAAACAGAGAAGAGCAGTTCTGCTGTTAATCAGGCTGGGTGAAAGGAAGCTGCAGACACAGTCAGCCACCAAGTCATCAGGAAACAATCTTCCAAAGTCATGCAGCAGCTGGAAATTGCCTTGGGAGACACTGGGTGACTGCTACTTCTTTCCACTGAGGCACCAGGCATGCTTGAGGACACCCGTCTGCTACTGGGGATACCCAATGACTAACCTATCCCACCTCTGACAGCTTCCAACCCCTAGTAAATCCCATTGCTCCTTACTTCCACCTGAGAGGCTGCAGCCAGTTCAGAACTGATCCCAGCTTCCATTAGGTCCCCGTCCAAATCAGGACCCTGCAGTGAGAACCCAAAGAATACACCTGATGCTTCTCTCCTCTGGCTTGTCGAGAGGCATCCCATGGTTAGTCTGGAGTGCCTGCTCTTAATTCTTTGAACCAAGAAATTAAGTTTTGTCCAACTATACATTTATCCCCAGTGATCTTTGGCAATTTAATTGGGTTTTAACAGCAACATGAACATACATGCATACAGAGAGGTATGTGCATGTATTCATCTACCTACTTACCTATTATCTCAGAACATAAAACAAAAAGTTCTGGAGTGGAAATATCACATTTAAGCAGCTATTACCCAGAAATAAATAAAAGAAGGTTGAAGAAAGCTTTTTTTAAATCATTTAGCATTTTCTTATTATAATGTTTACAGTAGATCTGTGTTACTGTTTTTTTGTTGTTGTTTTTTAAGAGGGGAAATTAATGAACAAAATCATTATTTTACCTCTGCCAATTCTTTGTGTCTCTCTAAGTACATACACACTCGTAATCACACCCACACACAAACACACATAAAGCATATACCCCTTCTGAGAAAATTGAGTGTCTTGAGTGTAGATCAAGAAACTATAAATACAAGTAATTGTTCCTTCACTGTTTTTTTAATATTTATTTTGAGAGAGAGACAGAGACAGACAGACAGTGAGACTGAGAGAGAGAGAGAGAGAGAGAGAGAGAGAATCCCAAGCAGGCTCTGTTCTGTCAGTGCAAAACTGACAGGGGACTCAATCTCAGAAACCACAAGATCACTATCTGAGCTGAAATCAAGAGCCGGGTGCCTAACTGACTGAATGAGGAACACCTCGTTCAATTGTTTTAAAAATTTCAAATCTATGGGGTGCCTGGGTGGCTCAGTCGGTTAAGTGTCCGACTTCAGCTCAGGTCATGACCTCGCGGTTCGTGGGTTCGAGCCCCGCGTCGAGCTCTGTGCTGACAGCTCAGAGCCTGGAGCCTGTTTCAGATTCTGTATCTCCCTCTCTCTCTGACCCTCCCCTGCTCACGCTGTGTCTGTGTGTGTGTCTCTCTCTCTCAGAAATAAATAAAACATTTAAAAAATTTTTAAATAAAACAATTGCTTGCTTAAAATAAACTGGAACCAAGAATCAGAGTAAAGGTTTCCTAGATCAGGATTTGATTAAACTGCTCTCAAGGTGTGGTTCTCCCACACATTCCTGGCAACAAAGGGGCCTATGGGTTAGAAAGGAAACCAAGTAGTGCAGAGGTAAAGGGCCATAGTTCACCTCAATTACCTGCCATTTCTGTTTCTTCTTCTCTGAAAGAGAACACAGATGGGAAAGTAATTAACGCACACACTGATTAGTCATCTCATTTGCCAATTGTACTTGGTAAATAAACCAGACTGCAGGTTGAAGTGAGGTGAAGCCAGTAGGATGAGATAAAGAGATACATATGGTGGGATTGTCAGTTAACCGTAAAATAGATTATACATTTCTCTGCACATGATTTTAACAGGGAGGCAAGAGTAAGAAAGGTAAATCTGAGGACTTGTCTTTTTTTTTTAAGATAAAAATGTGAGGGGCCTGGGTGGCTCAGCTGGTAAAGAGTCTAACTCTTGATTTCTGCTCAGGTCATGATCTTACTTTTTGTGAGTTCGAGACCCTCTTCTGGCTCACAGGGACTGTGCAGAGGCTGCTGGGGATTCTCTCTCTCTCTCCACCTGTCCTGCTCCTGGTCTCCCGCTCTCTCAAAATAAATATATATACTATGTTTTAAAAAAAGATAAACACGTGACCAAAAACATTTTATGCTTTATCAGCAAGTGTTTTGGCAACGTTCAATGTAATGCAAATAATTATTGTGCATAAATCCAATTTTTGAAGAACCCATCCAATCTACCAATGTAAAAGCAGCTACTGACTTTTTATAGAATGGCAGATAAATTTTCGATACTAATAGTCAATACAAAACTATAATTTTTTAAAATGTTTTTTATTTATTTCTGAGATAGAGAGAGAACAGCATGAACAGGGGAGGGTCAGAGAGAGAAGGAGACACAGAATCTGAAACAGGCTCCAGGCCCTGAGCTGTCAGCACAGAGCCCGATGCGGGGCTAGAACCCATGAAGCGTGAGATCATGACCTGAGCCGAAGTTGGACACTCAACCTACTGAGCCACCCAGGCACCCCCAAAACTATACTTTTTTTGAGTTGTACCTTATCTTTGGAACCTGTTGATATGAATTAATTCCATCAGAAAAATATATATTTGCCTTGGATACAAGGCAGTGTACTAATGCTGTGAATGGGATTTCCACATACTTTATTAAAAAGTTGCAAAAACTAAAAGAAATCAGAGTGAAAGCATAGGGTAAATATCACATGTCCCCAAACCATCTTCCTCTCAACGCTGATTGTGGGATTGAGCTTCTGGGCTCTTCTTCATATTTAAGTGAGAAAAATTGTAAGCCTGTGGGGGTGGGGGTGGGGGGCGGGAAGAGTCAAGGTAACGGACAAGTGAGAGATGCAGCTTTCCATGAGGTGAGAACTAGTAAAGCACTACTGAAGAGATAAAAATATATTTTCAACATTTTTCAGTCAATCTTCCCTCTCTTCTCTTCTTTTGGGAATTCCTAGGAAAACTAAACCGGTAGCCTGAACATTTAATAGCGGAGTTGGGGCTACCACACGTCGATTTCCAGGCCAGTCACTTTTCCATTAACAAAGGATATCACAAACAGCGGCAAAGAGGGAATAATGGATGGACAGAGTCCTTCTTTCAGTTGAAAGAAATGTGAGTCAAGTTCCCTTTTTTGTGTTTGATTAAGTTGAATTTATTTCTCTGTATCCCACTCTCCCTTCCTTCTGTTCTCATCAGTCTGCTTTCTTTCCTTTCTCTCTCTCCTTTTTCTTCCTTCTTCCCTTTCTCCTTACCTCTCTCTCTTTCTTCCTTCCCCCCTTTCTTCCTTCTTTCCTTCCTACTCCCTATTGCCAATACAGTAATGCCAGAAGCAGAAGATGAATCAGAAGAAACACGTTGTGCTAATTTCAGCTCTACATAGAGCAAACTATTCTACAAATTCCACAAAGCCACTTGGAGATCTATTTTGAGAAAATCTAGACCACAGCAATATAGTAAAGCTATTTTTCAACAGCGATAGAAAGGTTGCTACTGAAATTTTGTTGGAAAAAAAAAAATTCATTACATATGACTCTTTGGCACATTGCAGGAGATTTAGTATCCTTGGCTTCTGACCCTAAATGCCAATGACGCCCTTAAGTCCTGTGACAACATGAAAAGTCCCACATGTTTTAAAACACCAAGTAGTAGGGTGACTATATGCCTTACTAAAGATCAGTGCTTCAAAACTAAAGGTTTGAATCTGTGTTCAGATTTTACCATCTGATGGCCATTTAAAAACAAAAACCAAAGCAATTTTTTCTTCTACCTTAAAAAGAAAGTTCATCTTTATAGAGCTCGTATGAAGTTCAATGTGTCAATGTTTGTGAAAACATTTTTTTTTAATTTCAAAAGGTTATACAGATATGAGATGTAATTCTCATTTTCCCTAAACTTTGAATATAGCCTTACATTGTTGTTACCTACTTTTTGAATAACCGAAGTGATGCTAAACAAAGAGTAAGCTCCAGTTTCCCTCTAGAGAACTGTCACACAAGGAATCTACCATGTTGTGTAGACACAACTCACTTTGTTGGTTTCCAACTGTGTCCTTCAGAGCTGAGACCAGCTTTCTTCTTAAAGGTGGGCAAAAGTTGGATGAGACACTAAAACCCCACGCTTCTCACCTCTACTTGAAACCGAGTGGTTCTGCGCTAACTTTTTTTCATAGTGAACTTTTCTTATCTTGGAACATAAGATTTTGTAGCTTAAAAAGTTCTCACAAATATATTTATGGAGCACATATTTCATATTTTTTCTGATTATAGTACAGCCTAATTATAAAAAGAAATGGGGATATAATTTTGTTCTCCGTGTGTAGGAAAATCCTCCATAACCTCAAGTCTAAAAATAATCGCTGTTGAAATTTGGCCTATATTCTTCCAGAGCTTTTCATGTGGGCATGTGCTTATATAAAAGAGATTGCACTCTGAATACTTCCTAATGGAAAGTTTATATCTTGCCACATCTGTGTATAGTCTATTTCACTCATTTTTATAATTTTATAGTGTATAATTTTCTTTCTTTGCAGCTATTTTATTTGCATTTAATACTTGATAGCACATATAATTTGCATAGTACAGTTCTGCATCACATATACTAATTGATCAATAAAAGACTTGTTGAGAGAATAGAAAGACAAAGAAGCCGTCCTTGTCCTTTGAATAAAGAAAAGTGTGTAAAAAAACTAATACAATTATGGCTATTAACAAATCTATTCTTATTAATAATTGAAAACCACATGTATAAGACATTTTGTATTTTCAGAGTGACTTCACACATGCGATCTGTTTCAGTCTTCAAAACTACCTGTGTGTTTGCAGAGTAAATGTCGCTGCACTCATTTTACACATGGGGAGCTGAGATCGTGAAAGAAAGTGGAAGTGAGACATATGGAGTTATACCTCAGACATTTAGACTCCTTGTAAAAGCAAACATTCCAGTGCAATCGCGAGAATGTACCCGTTAGGGGAAAAAAAAAATTGTCAGCTGCCATTTTGTTTTGATATTAAGGAGTAATAAAAAAAAACACCCTGAAATTTAGAAATGCTAAAGTGCCGGGACGCCTGTGTGGCTCAGTGGTTAAGGATCCGGCTTTGGCTCAGCTCATGATCTGAATGGGTTTGAGCCCACATCAGGCTCTGTGAGCTCAGGGCCTGGAGCCTGCTTCGGATTCTGTGTCTCCCTCACTCTCTCCGCCCCTCCCCGGCTCACACTGTGTCCCTCTATATCTCTCAAAAATAAATAAGCATTAAAAAAATGTTTTTAAATATGGAAGTCCCACATATGATCAAAGTCAGGGTTTTTTTCTAGTAAATTGTGAAACAGTTGCAAACATACCTATAGACACACCATATTTAAAATACACAATTCAAAGGGGCATCTCACTTAAGGTTAGGAAACATAATGCAGCTAGTTAATATTTGTTATGCTCATAAAAATGGATCAATCAATATTGAAGCATTCGTATGTGCTATCTGTTTTAATCCTTACTGTAAACGTAGGAGACAGTTAGTATTGTCTTCTCTGATTTACAGATGAGGAGACTGAAGCTCAGAAAGATGACATTTGTCCCGGGTCATTTGGTTAATAAAGAATTGTTTGTCTAATTCTCGACTCCTGGAATTAACTACTATTCTATGCTGCTTCTCAATAACAAAATACTGCAAATTATGGATATATTTAATTCTATAATAGAGTTCTTCATAGAGATTCTAAGGAAATCTGAGAATGACGTGCCAGAGTCATAAATTTTTATTTTCATTGGAACATAAAGGAGATAAAGAAGAAAACAAACTAACCCCTAAAAAACCCTTCCCAATGATAAAAGAAAAAAAAAAATATTCCATCAATGCAATCACAAAAGTTTATTTAGTATTTACTTTCTGCTAAGTACCTTAGTAATGCAAATATTGTTCTAGTGAGAACCCTATACTTAAGGAATCTTTGTCTCATGCATGATGTTGAAGCTCTAACAGGTTTGGTCACTGACCACTTGTGCTGTCTTTATGGGCGTACTTCCCAGTTTTTCACATGTCCAAGCCAAGAGGGTGGTTTCTAGGTCTTCAAGGTCTGTGCAGATTTTTGTGTTTGTCATGGGCCGTCCTGTCTCAGTGACTGAACATGGACTGCAGGGAGTGCATTATTCCATTTTTATTTTTATTACTTTGTAGGGAGAAACTTTCCTCTTGAATCCATCTTTTTCATTTTTATTTCTTTAAGCCTCATTCCATTTCCTTCATTTTTTTTTGTATTGTTCTATGCATTTTGTTGTTAGAAAATTGGCCACGAGACAGGCAAGTTCAGCTTTATGTGAAACTTCTTATTTAATACAAGTCAGAAAAAAAAAAAACAGACTTTTTTTCTGTCATTTTTCATGAGTGGACTGCAGGACTTTCTAGGGAGTATTTCCTAGAAATACTAGGAAATGCCAAACCAGATGTTGTAAAATGTCTTCTACCAGTGCTAAAACCTTTTCTCCTCAAACCTCTTAAACTTTAATAGCACAAATATATCATATTAACGCCCAGACTGCTACATTAAGGTAACATTAGTGTTCTTGAGTTACACCCTCCATGATCTAGTAAATTCTGAGAAGCTTCCATTCTTGGTTTTGAGCATCAACAAGCAGTATTATGCAGTATTTAAGGTTTAAAAAGGTGGATATTCAACACAGGAAATAATTTATAGTCACCAATAGGCACTGACAGCTTGGGTCCAACAAGGTTATACATTATGTATTTCAACAATTGTCAGGAATATTTATTGAGAACCCATTGTGTGTAGATTGGTGGACTTCATGTTCTATGGGGCACACAAAATAAAATAGATGGTGGGGACCTTTACCCTCAACAAACTTTAGAGTTTTTAGAAAGAATCCATAAATCAGTTGGAGATTATGTTAGATGACTTCTGACATTTTTTCCAAATAAACTTCTAATAGTCTTATAGTGTCCTCTTTCTATATATTTCAATTTAATTCCATATGACCAAGAAAAGATTTGAGGTGGTTTATCACAAGGGTTCATTTATTTAGTCTAGGGGACTTAAAAATAAACGGGTAATTGTAACAGGAAGTTGAGACAAGATGGTTACTTAAATGCAGCACTAAATTATACTTACTTTTATTTATGGGAGTGATACCTAAAAGTCTTAGCAGTCTACACGGGGGCAGGAAGAAGAAACAGAAAGAAAGCAGCTTTCTAAGACTTTCCCATCAAAGACCAAGTTGACTATTGTTTTGAGAAAAAGAACTCAGTATTTCAATCTATTTTGTGCAATACGATCTGACTTAAATCAGGAAAAAAAAAAACATTTTCCAGAGTTAAAAAAAAACCTGTAAATTTAATAATAGAGGAGGGAAAAGTGGAAACATGATGATTTATATCCATTTGTGAATTTACTATGTCCTTAGTTGTGGAACAAATGATTGGAAGTTGGGTGGCTAGAACGGTCTTAAAGCTGTATTTGCTTCAAAAGCACATTGTTGTACCTCAATAATTTGTTGCAGATTAATGTGCTGACCAAGAGTTATAAAGATATACCTTTCAGTCTTTGTAAGATGCTCAAAAGCAAACATTTTCCATACCGAGAATTATCATCAGGATTGATTTGGAAAGGCTGCTTTTGTAAGGTAGAGAGGTAGGTTCCAGTGGCGGGGCTGGGGATGAGGGGTAAAGCCCATCTGTGGCCTCTCTTGTGGCAATATCCCCATTTAAATCATTCTTCTGGTACATAAAGAGAAGTATTAGTTCTTTGGAGTAGACACTTGGCATTGAATTTTACACATGATTTATAGATGGGCATTAATTTAAGGCATTTTGAGGGACATAATAGAAAATACCTGTAACAAGGATTTTGCAGAAGATATAAATGCATTTTTTTGTAGTGTTCCTTTTTTTTAGTAAGCTTCAAACGGTTCAGGATAAGGCATCACATTGTACTTCAATTAAACAATATCTGTGCATTCATTTTAAATCTGAGAAAATCCAGAAAAATGAATTCTTAAGTCCAATAATACCGTCCAGTGATGTAATTATTGGGCCAATGTCTAGTCTTTGTTTTGTTTTGTTTTAAATAGTGGAAGGAGAAAGGAAAAAACAGACTTTTGAGTA